TCATTCTATCTCTACCCTTGGGGTTTGATTTCCCCCTCATTCTCTGTTGAACTATTTCATAGTTTTCAGTAGACTGACCCACTGACCAGGACCAAGATTATTTGCTTCAGATGATGGTCCACATAGGGGGTGTAATTTCCTATGCACCAATTTACAGCCATCGCCAGATTTAATCTCAGTCACCTCACTATCCACTCTCTCTTGATAGAGTGTCCCTGGTTTCCTTGAGTGAGACTCGTACCTGGCATCATTCCCTGGGGTTGCCCAAACCTATATTGAGTTTTCCTGAACAGACTCGTATCCCTCTGTTCTGGAACCGAACAGAACTTTGTGGTCCCCTCTTTATTGACTCAGAACACCGACCACCCTTGGCAGTTCACCATAATTAAAGCATTAACTCGAGTGCTTTCCCTGGGTGACTGCCATTCGTATAACCGAACGCACGTGGTCCATTTTGTCTCCCAAACGCAGGCAGCAGTACTTGGTCGTTGAGCTCCTCCTTTCGGCTACAGACTCTCGCAAACCCCAGCGAAGATGGTACTGCTGCCCATAAAATTTTTCGACCAGCTACACGAACCACATTCGGGAGATAGGAACTACCAACTGGTGGGAGCATTTGCTACCTATGAGCCAGGGGGAGCGTTTGTCTGTGTTCATACAGGAACTCTGACAGGAACAAAAACCGTCCGCTGCCCTGGATTCTCTGGGACTCTTTTGGGGCATCAATCAAACCTGATGGCCAGCCGGTTAAAACTTCTCCAGAACAGCGATTTTGTTTCACCAAACCTCTTTTTGGATATGTTGGGCACTTAGACACCGGCTATTGTAGAATACAAGACTTGTGGGGTTCCTATAATATTTTCTTATGTTTTCGGGGTGATTTCTAATATTGTATGTTATTTCCTGTAACTGAGAGATAATTGAGTTATCCAGTTTAGAGCTCAATTATCTCTCAGACCAGGAGACTCCTGGGAAAAAACCCTTATAATGTTGCTGTGGAGACCCCATGCTAGGGGTCCATGCATAAAAAGCTGTTTGTGGCCGAATAAAAATCAGTTGACTCCCAGAACCAGGCCCGGACTGGCCATAGGGCACACCGGGCAAATGCCTGGTGGGCCGCGATGGCCGTGGGCCGAGGCCGGCAGGGGAGGTCCCAGGATCTCCCCTGCCAGTCTTTGCAGGGCCGGCACTCTCCTAGCGCCGGCCCCGCTGTTTGCCACAACGGGCCGGTAGGGAGATCAAAGATCTCCCTCACCGGCCCACATGTGGCCGCCGGCGGGGAGGGGGAGAGGGAGGGAGCCAGCCAGCCTGGAGAGAGGACCCGGCGGAGCTCTAATTTGCAGCTCCGCCGGGTTCCTCTCGCGAGATCCGGCGCATTGCCATGGCAACGACCGGATCTCGCGAGAGTGAACTCTAGCCTCACGGGCTAGAGTTCACTCACCCACGAGGACCACCAGGGAACACTGCCACCCTGCCTTCCAGCGTGCCGGACCCCCCCTCCCAGGCTAAAGGTAAGAAGGGAGGGGGGGGGGAACATAGTGTCTGTTTTTTTATTTACCCCCCCCCTACACACACACACAATAACATTTATACAGCACTCTCACACCCATCACACACAGCACTCTCACACCCATCACACACAGCACTCTCACACACAGCACTCACACACAGCACTCTCTCACACAGCACTCTCACACACACACAGCTCTCACACCCATCACACACAGCACTCACACACAGCACTCTCTCACAGAGCACTCTCACACACACACAGCACTCTCTCACACAGCACTCTCACACCCATCACACACAGCACTCTCACAGAGCACTCTCACACACACACAGCATTCTCTCACACAGCACTCTCACACCCATCACACTCACAGCACTCTCACAGAGCACTCACACACACACAGCACTCTCAGAGCACTCTCTCACACAGCACACTCTCACACAACACTCTCACATCCATCACTGACACACAGCACTCTCACATCCATCACTGACACACAGCACTCTCACACCCATCACTCACACACGGCACTCTCACACACATCACACACACACCGCACCTCTCACATACACACAGAACCCCCCCAACACACTGCACCACACACATACACAATACTTCCATATATATATATATATATATCTACACACACACACACACACACACTACACTCTTAAAGGACCACATTAGCCACCCAGACCACTTCAGCTTAATGAAGTGGTCTTGGTGCCAGGTCCTTCTAGGGTTAACCCATTGTTTTATAAACATAGCAGTTTCAGAGAAACTGCTATGTTTATCAATGGGTTAAGCCTTCCCCCAAAGCCTCTAGCAGCTGTCTCATTGACAGCCGCTAGAGGTGCTTGCGTGCTTTTCACTATGAAAATCACAGTGAGAGCACGCAAGCGTCCATAGGAAAGCATTATAAATGCTTTCCTATGCGACCGGCTGAATGCGCGCGCAGCTCTTGCCGCGCGTGCGCATTCAGCCGACGGGGCGGATCGGAGGAGGAGAGCTCCCCGCCCGGCGCTGGAAAAAGGTAAGTTTTAACCCCTTTCCAGAGCCGGGCGGGAGGGGGTCCCTGAGGGTGGGGGCACCCTCAGGGCACTATAGTGCCAGGAAAACGAGTATGTTTTCCTGGCACTATAGTGGTCCTTTAACATACACACTCTGGATCCCCTATACACACACTAGATTCCTTGTAAGCAAACACATACTACACCCCTAAACACACACACACTATAGCCTGTATGCACACACTTGCTATATCCCCAATACACACATTCTCTACAGCCCATAGCCACATATGCATCACATTACACCACAAACACAACACGACTAAAACTGACCTTATTACACAATACCACACCACGACCAGCTCACTCTACACACACGCAATACCACAAGCAGGCTCCAAATACATGCACAATACTCTTTCCTGGCCTTTTATCTCCTGGTATCCATTTATAGACACCAGAGACAAGTTGCAAGGAAACACAGTGCAAGCATGTTATTAAATTTGCTTGCACTGTGCAGAACAAATACAGGACTTTTTTCTCATGCTAGAGCTCTTCAGTAGATCTCTGCGCATGGTCTGCCCTGGAAGAGCATTGAACCAACATGCTCACTTTGAGAGGAGGCGTGTTTGTCATTGGTGATGACAAAACACACCTCCTCTGCCCCGCCCCCTTTTTAGTGGGCCGCTGTGTTAAAAAAATGCCCGGGCCGAATTTTTCTCCCAGTCCGGCCCTGCCCAGAACTGTGTGTCGTGGTCACTGGTCAGCTTTCTTCCAGGTCCAGAGGATTCCAGCGGAGATATTCGATCTTAGGATTGCAGCTCCGCTACACCAACCCTTCGCCTGTTCATCAGTTATTAACCCGAGCCACTCATCCCAACCTAATTCAGTGTGTGAAAACTATCTCATGCGATACATTAGAAAGAAAATATTGGTGTTCTATTAAATCTGTATTATAAAAAGCATACAAGCTGCGGTGCCTTAATGCACATATAGAATTATTCTTATATTCCCAATTTATCTTCTAAATAATACATTGTCTAAAACGTGTGTGACTTTCTTCATGTGATGGTTTGTATTCTTTTCTTGTAAATATGTATTGAGCAACAGACATCACAATTCAGTCCAATCCAGGCCGACCCAGGACTAGCATTGCACTGGAGAAGAACAAACAAAAACATTGTTTCACTTCTCCTTTTATCCATATTCTCTCTCTCTATGCCGACTGCCAGGTGCAAAGGACAGAGTTTATAAAAATGATTGACAGGGAGCTAAGATGGTGGCGGAAATATAAAGAGGTGTTGATTTCTAAATGAAATTTTATTTTTACACTTCACACATACTTGTTAAAGATAGGAGTAAGTAAACAATGCACAGTATTAAAAATCTTACTAAGGGAAGGTGTCCTTTTAATTTACTGCAAATTCACCCTTTATTTATTTTGGAGACTTTTGCGAAATCTGTTTTGTTTTTTCTTGTCTCCCTTATTTTTTATATTAAAGTCATTATTTTGTCATTTATTTTTTATTTAGTCCAGCTAGTGTCTTTTTTTGCAACTCTGAATAATTTACTAATGTTCCTCATTATTATTTTTTAACTCTGTCACAAATGTTTAACTCCACTTTAACTCTGTAACATTCCCTTCCTTCTCTATATAATCCCTTTTTAATCTCCCATAACACATTTTACTTTCTATTTTTATCCTCTTCCTTGCTCCAAGCTTATACCAGTTCTCTGCACAATTTTTTTTTACATATTCTAGCCCCGGTAACCAAGAAATAGACGCAGTCAGACTTTTCTTGTAACAAGGAGTTTATTAAATATAGGAGGGTAAAAAAATAGCAACAAAATATATGGGATAACATGAAATAATATACACATGGGTTAATCCTTAGAAAAAAGTGGACACAATGCTTGCATTCAGGATCTTACGAAACAGTTCTAAATAACTTATATCAAGATACGATGTTATTAAGAGAGGTAGCCAGCTGTGACCCAATGCAGATCAGATTAAAAAGGAAAAATAATCGTATATGTGCTTTAAAACATGTAATGGGAAGTACATGGCATTGATGAAAGTTTCAATATAGTCAGAGTTATTTACAAATTTGAGAATTTATAATGAATTCTAAGTGAATTTCAAATTTAAGTTCAAAATAGCCAAACTGGAAACATTCTCTAAGTCATTTATGCTTTTCCATTCTGCTACTCTGGCCTTAAATTTGACATTTACTTTGAATTCACCTTGAATTCTCACTTTAGTGACTAACCCTGTTAGTGATAAAACACATTGTTAATAACCATGCTTGTGTTAAAGGGCTTGTTCATGTAAAACTGAACTAAGCATAGCCATAGGTCAGCAGGGATGTCTGGGTAATCCAGCTTGCATCCTTAGACAATATAGTGGTTTTCAGATCCCACCTGTAGCCACAACACAATCTCCTAGTGATCTCAACATGGATCTTGGATGGTCTGGTGCCCTGTGTCAGGCTTCCTGCCAGCTTACCTCCAGCCAAAGCTCCGAGGGCCACGATCCCCTCCGGCATTCCATCCAAATGGAAAAGGACCAATCAGGTGTAAGTGATGCCTATATATACTTACCTCACCCATTCCTTGTTGCCCTGTTGTGGTTTCTTGATAGCCCAATAGCGCGTTCCTTTTGTATTTCTTGGTATATTGTTCTGGCTCTCGTCTACGTTTATCCTGTCCTCTGTTATCCATTTACAAAAAAAAAAAAAGTCCTGCGCTCAAATTCCCATTACTCCTGGGCGGCAGCAACGACCATAGTACACATCAGCTCAAATACATACAGTAAAAAAAACAAAGAAAATAGTTACCTGCACTCTTTCCCAAATCCCTATGTATATTTAAACAAATGGAGGTTTTTAGTTACCTCCAATGGCCATGAGAGGGTATGCCCACCTGCCACATCAAGGCAGACCTCTTAGGTGAACCTGGGCTTGCTATATTGACTCTGTTTGCTCATTTACAGGGGTGGGCTAGGCCAGGGGGCAGGGAGGCAAATCCCCATTTGAAAAAGGTGCTCTGCAGTGCCGATCCTGGGCGGATGCACGGGGTGCAACGTGCCCAGGCGACAGGAGGTGGGGGGGCGCCTCGCGGAGCAGACTGATGGTCTGTCACAGGGAGCCAAGCAGGTGGCCAGCTGGCCATCTAAGGGCGCCCCCATTGCAAGGCAGAGTAGCACCTGCTTCTCCCGGGTGGCAGGTGCCTACTCTCCAGCAATATATCGGCTGAAGAAGGAGGCAGGCGGTGGCGAGGGAGCACTGTAGCGGGACCTGGGTAACCTGGCTGGTTATCCCCTTTGGTAAGAGTAGGTCAGACCCATTTCGCCAGTAACAGGACGGGACACAGTGCCAGGATGCAATGTTTGACAATGTTTATTGGGCACACAGCTTTTTATGCGCAGACCCCCACAGAGGGTCTCCATTCAGCACAACAGAAACACATACAGGAGGAGGCTGGGGAACTGATAACCATCTCCCGCTCTGGGAGATACTAACAGGACACAGGGACACGCATGAGTACATTTCACATACAGGGGGGTGAACTTTGGGGCTCGGCATCCCAGGGCGGGAAGGGGGTACAGGATTACACTTTATATGGGGGAATAGCCCCGGGTCCCATCTGGGATCCCTGCAAAAAGTGAGGTGATTGGATGTACAGAGCAGGAGATATAAGCATCGGAAGTCTGGGGCTCAAGGATCTGTACATCCCCGGAATCAGTTCCATGATGTTGCTTGGTTTAGCCCTGGTTTCAAGGTTAAACCGGCCCCCCTGATCCTGTCTAATACTGCTCCTACGTGTTCCAGGTGTGCCTCCCAGGTATCACTATAGATGGCGATATCGTCCAGGTAGGCACACGCATAATCCTGGAGACCTACCAACAGGCGGTCTACCATCCACTGGAAGGTGGACAGGGCGTTCATCCCGAACGGCATAACCCGAAATTGGTATAGGCCGAACGGGGTGATGATCGCTGACTTGGGTACTGCTTCTTCTGCTAGGGGGATCTGCCAGTATCCCTTACATAGGTCTATCATGGTCATATACTTCACGGTAGAGATGCAGTCAAGCAGCTCGTCCATCCATGGCATCGGATAGGCGTCTGTGACTGTCTTGTCATTGAGCCGCCGGTAATCTATGCAAAAGCGGGTTGTACTGTCCCGGTTTGACACTAAGACTACAGGTGAGGCCCAAGGACTGTCCGAATGCTCTATTACCCCTAATCGAAGCATTTCGTCAATTTCTTTCCGCATCCCGTCTCGGACAGCTTAGGGAATGCGGTAGGGGGGTTGCCTTAGGGGCGCCTGCCCCAGTGTGTCTACTTTGTGAACCGCTAGCGGGCTATACCTGGGCTCATGAGAGAATGTGGCCTGTTTGGCTTCCAGTAAGCGGATAACCTGGGCCCTCTCCTGGGGCTCCAGCTGTTCCCCTAACTGGACTTTTTCTACCAGCCTCGTCTCCCCATTACTCCCGTATAGGTCGGGTAGGGGCAAAGTCTCAGTGTCCTCTCCAGCTGGAGCACAGATGGCAGTCACCTCCTCAGCTCTCTCGTTATATGCTCTGAGCATGTTGATGTGAAACGTTCATTTCACATCTTCATTCTCGCAGCTGGCTATAGTATAGGTGGTATCGCACACCTGTATAGGGGCCCTGCCAGGCAGCCTGGAGCTTGTCAGTTCGGACTGGTCTTAGCACCATGACCTTTTGTCCGATCGGAAAGCTTCGGTACCTAGCCATTCGGTCGTACCATACTTTCTGGTGCTGCTGAGCCACCTGGAGATTTTCCTGCACAGTCTGTGCCAATTCCTCCATGCGGTCCCGCAGCTCCAGCATGTAGGGCACAATCAGGGTCCCCTCTATCTCGGTCTGCCCTTCCCAGTGGTCCTTGATAAGGTCTAGGGGACCATATAGCAGTTCGAAGGGTGAAAACCCGGTTGATTCCTGGGGCACCTCCCGGTATGCGAAGAGGAGGTGCGGCAGGAATCGCTCCCAATCTTTGTAGGCTCCCGTGAACAACTTCAGCATTTGCTTCAGCATCCCGTTGAAGCTGTCACCCAGGCCATTGGTCTGGGGATGATATGGGGAACTGGTCAGGGATTTAACTCCGCAGACCTTCCATATCTGCTGGGTCACCTCGGCCGTGAACTGCGTACCCTGTTCGGATAGAATCTCTTTGGGAAATCCCACTCGGGAGAATATCTTGACCAGGGCATCAGCCACGTGATTTATGCCGAATGGCGGCCACCTAGAAGCACTCAATTAAGTTGCGGTTTTTCGTGTGGTTACTCGGTGTTCCAAATTCTGATTGCTACCCAGGGTGGTCTCCGTTCGGTAGAACAAATACATTTCCCAAACATATAATTAAAACGAAATGTTCAAAGGTAGTTAAAGAGCAGGGAGAGGACACAACCGAATGAACACAGGTGAATGCAGTGAAATCCTTTACAAGCCCGGTGAATTCAAACTTCGTGCCTAAACCAAGCAACGACCAATCAGCCAAAATTGTGCAAACCAAATCATGCAAATCAGCATTAGGGGGAGAAAGGAGTTTCGCCGCCCAATCCGAAGGAAGGGCACAAAACTCGGTTGCACCAATCCATGCCTGCGGAGGTTGGGGGTTTCGGGGCCCAATCAGAAAATAGGGCGCGAAACCCGATGTCACCAATCCCAATCAGCACCCAGGGACGGGAGGGCCTCGCTGCCAAATCAGATGGAAGGGCACGAAACCCAGTTTGAATGAGCGCTCCTACTTGGATTGGTCACTCGCTCCCTGCGGCGACTGTGGCAAAACCGACCTCGCCACGTGTCCTTGGAGGGGGCTGCTTGCCCGCCTCTTGCCTTTGGACTATGGCCCTGCAGGTTAAACTGTTTATTTTCCCTGCAGAAAGGCTTATTCGTGTGATCTGAGTGCCATTCATCTAATAATGTGCAGTCAGATCCAAGCTATCTGGGGATATGTAGAAATGTGTGTTTTATGTACTAAATGTGTCAGTATGTAATTTTATGTCTTTTACTGTCTTTTTGTCTGCCATGTGGGTAATGGAGTTTGGCTCTGTCTTTGGAGATAATTAGATTCCTTCTCCAATTATCTCCAGGGCAGAAGGGAGGAAGCCAGGATGCATTGTGGGGATGTTTTACTTTTACTGTTTGAGCCAGGGGGAACAAAAGATACTTTTACTAACTTTTGAACCCCTGGTCTGATTCATGCCATTTTTTAATATGTTGTTCCCCTGAATGGATTGATTGTGAATATGTATTTTTATGCGAATGTGATGTATATTTTGGGAGTTATGAATGTTGTGTAAAAACTGTATTTTCCCTACCTATGATAATTGTATTTCCCTGTGTGTACAGATAATTAGTTTACAGGTAGAGGGGAGGGCTATGTGTGGGATGTAACTATTGTGTGATTGGTTAATGTACGTTACTGTGTGTGTCCCTCCCCTTCATGGGAGCACCTAATAAAAAGGGCTGCAAGCTAGCAGCCAGAGAGTTCCTGTTTTAACCCTCAAAGTGAAGTGTCGTCTCATTATTGGGGGAAGGATTCATTGTATGCTGTTCCAGTTTGACTGCTAGGAGAGTAAACCTATTCGTATGGTTCCTATTCAACTGTCTACAGCATTCAAATGCTTGAGAGGATTCATATGCTTCTCCGGTTCGGTGGTTGTGGTGTCTGCTGCAGTGCTTGGAGTCCTCAGGAAGCGCTAGGAGCATCCTTTAACGGAGGTACCCAGTCGGGGTGCCAGGCGATCCGTTACATTGGTGGCAAGCGGCGGGATGGCATCCTAGTGCGAGGAGAAGCAGCGAGGAGACACCGGTAACGTGTGGAGTTGTGCAGCGTCCTTATCTTCAGCAACATAATGGAACCAGCAGTGGCTACAGCAAGCATGGCGTATAGCTACTCCGTACTAGAGTTTGGCACGATGGTAGGGTTGCACCTGAAGTTTTACGGACCCAATCCAGAGGAGAAATACGTGCGGTTCGTGTGGGACATGGTGACCCGGAACCTACAACACAGGGCGTTGAGGGAAGGCCAGTGGGCACGTTGGGAGAAACTCCAGCCACAGGTAGAGTGGGACGAGGAAGAAACCGAGGTGGCCGGTGGAGATGGGACCGAGGTCTCTCTACCGGCCCTACAGGGATGCTGGGCACCCGGCCCAGATCCCCAGCGGCAGTATGTTTTACAGGGAGGGGAGACAGTCGGTCTCACTCCCCAGCGGCAGAATGTGTTATTGGAGGAAGAGACAACCGGTCTCCCTCCCCAACAGCAACCAGAGGTACCCGAGGTAGAGGACCTCATAGACTGGTCCTGGGAGGACCCCTGCAGGCAGGTGGAGATGGGACCGAGATCTCTCCACCGGCCCTACAGGGATGCTGGGCAACCGGCCCAGATCCCCAACTAGAGCTGGAGTTACAGAAAGTGGAGAGCATCGACCTCCCCCCCCAGCAGCAGCCGGAGTACCAGGGGGAGGTAAGTGATATTTCTCCTCCCCAGCCAACTCCTTTGTTCCCTGACCCCCCAGCAGAAGAGCTGGCAACTGGGCAGAGCGCCGCTGGCCTCTGTCCTCCCTTGTTTCCTTCCCCTGAGCCTGACTTTCTACAGGCTGCCCCAGCGGAAGGTGCCGTCCTTCCTCCCCAGCGGCAGTGCGTACCCCAGGGAGCTGATGGTGT